TTGGAGCGCCTGGGTGGCTCGGTTGTTAAGCGTCTGCCTTTGGCTCCGGTCATGATCCCAGGGTCCTGGGATGGAGCTCCCTGCTCAGTGGGAAGTCTGCTTCTCCCTCTGCCTGCCACTCCCCCCACCCCAATAAACAAGTAAATAAAATCTATAAATAATAAAGAAAATAGAATTTAGTTCTGCAGAAAAGACTGGGGTTCATTTTTTGTTTGAAGATGACTTTTTGGGGAACTTTGTTTTGTTCCCAAGATTTGTTTTAATCTTAGAATGTAAAAGCTTTAACAGAAAAAATGTCGTTGTAATCCCTTTGTAATGTTTTGCATAAAAACGTTATACTCTCTTCATGTGCAATCTTGGGGTCTGTTTATCATTTTCATCTATCTGTACTCTAGGAGTGGAGTCCAAGGACAACTTCCAGATCATCAATTCACTGTCTGCAATTAGTATCTATTTTTACAGGCTTCGGTGAGCATTTGGATGTTGCTATTATGATTTGGGTTCCCGTGCCATCTCGTCTAACCTATCCTGGTTCTCTTCTCAACCCAGCCAATCTCCTATGTCACAGATACCATGTGCAGTTAAAGAAAACTTCTGTGACCTACAACGCACAGGAAAGAAAGGTTTTTGCCTCCACCTGCTCAGAACCCTACGTGTACTTCCGATTTTTCCACAGGCCTGTTACCATGTTTCATAGTCATCTTTAAAAGAATTCTATGTAAGCCCAGTGTCAGCGAGCAAGAATGCATCAAGTTCCCTCGGCCATCTCACAGTCCACATGGGTGCTGCTAGAATCCCTGGCAGCCAGTTGATTTCTTGCCCCGATTCTGAAATGTAAGCACATCTGAATCACGAGGCTCACAAGGCTTGCCCCAGCTCAGGAAAGACTCCAAAGTGGGGCTGTAGTTTCACAGACAAGAGGACAGACAGAAGCAGTGCTAAAGTTTGCTTCCCTAAGTTTTCTTTTTCCTTCACTATATAAACAGCCCCTGCACATTCAGCATTAGAATACAAATAAAAACTTGTAATTTTCGGACAATGCAGGCCATCAGGAAATTAAAATCATTCGTGTTGCTACCACCAGCATTAATTTTTTCACTCACTGAACAATCATATGTGCTAGGGACTAATACTGATAATGAAATAATAAACACAAAAGGTCTCTTTCCTCACGGGGCCTATATTTCAGTAGGAGAAAATAGTGAATTGTACAAATAAATGTGAAATTGCAGGCCTGAAAGTGTTCCAGGGAGAGGAAAGGGGTCCTCTGAAAGCACACAGTAACCCATCCTCTGTGACTGCGAGCAGAGCCCAGGGGCTCCCTGGGAAAGTGAGGAAGAACTGGTACACAAGAGCTGAGCCTCACGCTTCACCTGGTATTCCAATTAATCCTTATATGCAGTTATATGCTTCATCTCATCCCCAGGGTTTTCTAAAACCTTGAATAGCTTTGGCATTTTCAAAGAACCAGACTGTAAATTATTCAGCCATTCCACTTCTTCTAAGACCTCTGATATAGAAGGGCTTTTGACAGCTCAAACAAGGGTTACCGTTGGGCTCACCTTGCCACTTGGACCCATCCCTCATGTCAGCGGGACGCTGCTGGCTTGTGTCAACTCTGGTCCTACTGCGAAGCTTCTCATTCGTGTGCCTCTTCTTCCTGGAGGCGGGTGGCTTCTTAAGAATGGTTCTCACTGTTGGTGGGATTTTAAATGTTGCTAGTTTGGAGGCCTTATAAGCTGCCCTCTTGGATGATTTTGCCAAAGCAAAACCTGCCTCCCCTCTTCCCCCACTAATTTCTAAATGGGGAGGAGGGAGACTGTGATTTACAGGCTCAATTACTTTGACTCAAGAGAATTTTTTATGGAAGTAAAATTTTACTTGAGCACTAATGGCTCTCCCTCCTCATCTAGACTCTTCTGCGTTGTCCTTAGGGTACATTCTTGCTGGATGCTTTCACATCATTAATTGTCCTTCGTAGTTTATGGTACTGAGAACCCCACCCCTGCTCCCGGCTGGGATGTCAGCCCAATGAAGCTCCCTTCTATGCCTAAGAACATGGCAAGCTCATGTTGAGGAAGGAAGAAATGTTTTTCCATTAATATATCTCTGTGGATATTTTAGAGGAAAACTAGAAAGTGACGACCCAGTAATTTTTATTGGGTCTTCTTCTGGAAGGGGTTTTGTGTGTGTGTGTGTGTGTGTGTGTGTGTGTGTGTATGCGTGTGTTTCAGCTGTATAATCTTGATGAACTCCTATAGATCAGGAATGTGCTAGGGACATTCAAATAATTTTGCATTTTAACATCATTTTTTAAAAGCTACTAATATTTTTTTGAAAAATCTTGTTACATTATAAAATAAAAAGATCACAGAGGGGCCCAAATACTGTCATAAATAATGAACATGTGGAAAAAAACACTAACAAGAAAAAACATGGATCTATGTTTTTTAAGCCCAGTTACTCTAGAGGCAACTGAGCAGTAGAGACTTACAAAGACTTGAAATCAGAGAACAGAGCCACTCGTGTGAACAAACAGTAAAACCACACATAGGAAGAAGAAACACAGTATGGGCAGCAAAGTAACCCCAAATGGACGTACTATTATTAGTATGGGTGGAAGTTTCAAGGGGAGGATTTCCACCAAAGCCAACCCTGGGCATGCTTGCTGTATGTCTTGTCCCTTAACCCCAATCTCCCACTGCCAGCACACCTGTCTCACAGGTGGTCCCCTTAATGTCACCACCCCCTTCAGCAACAACCAGTTGTAAACATAACGTAAATAAAAAGACCGCACTTTATCACAATTTAAGAAGGAAGAAATAAACTCATTTCTACTACTGCTACTACCATTTGTCTTATGCTATATCCTTATTTAAAGTTAATTCTATCATGACCTTGTACACACGGTGGAGGTTTCTTGTTCTTGCCCCCAGCCCTACCAGGTCTCAATCCACTTCCCCTTCCTAAAAACACCCTGAATTTCCTTCCCAGGAATCTCAGCTATGTGCTGTGGGTGATTCACTTCACACTCAACTACAAGGATGCCCCAAGCAAAGAAATTAAACTCAATTATAATCAATGATAAGATGTTTCTAAAACTTCTCGAAAACACATGTTCTTTAAACCTGCCCTTGACCCTTGATGAAGGCTCTGAAGATCTAGGTGTGGAACTGCAGGGGGTTTTGTACGGAGTCTGAGGGGCGAAACCAACACCGGGGAAGGCAAAGTAGAGATGAGTCTTTGCTCACACTGTGAGCTGCTCAATCTAGGCAGAGTCAAAGCAAGTCTACTGCTAGTCTTTCTTTTTTGCTTAAGTCACTTCAAGTTTTGTCAGACTTACCAGTTAAATTCCTGATTAACATAATACATAAATAAAACACTTTCTTACCTTAGCAAGTTTACTCTGAAGTAACAACTACTCAAATACTTCTCAGTAAAGAAATGTATTATAGGGGTGTGTTCCCTTTGTGATCATTCACCAAGCAGCACATTTACGCTCTGTGTGTTTTAGAATATGGATGTATATTGTTCCACAGAATAATAAAAGAAATGCTGTTGTATATCAACATACAAATCACACCATTTCCCAACAAAAAAAGCTTATCATACAGTCTATCAGATCAGAGTCCCAGGCTCAGCTCAGCACGAATTCTACTCTAAAGCAACTTGTACTCAGGAGGCAGCTCAACGAGTACCTGTTAACTAAGCACACCTTGGAGTTTGCTGTTGAAACTTCAAAGAAAAACATGACTTTTACTCACAGGGGACTTGCAGTCTATAAGGTATGCAAGATGAAGTCATCCCATATGTAACAGGAGGGGTGCCTGACTGGCTCAGTCGGTTAAGCGTCCGACTCTTGACTTCGACTCAGGTCATCACCTCAGGCTGATGAGATCGAGCCCTGTGCTGGGCTCCATGCTGGCCATGGAGTCTGCTTAAGATTCTCTCTCCCTCTGCCCTTCCCCTCCTCTAAATAAATAAATAAGAGAATAAGAGAAATAAAATTATGATTAGAAATGGAGGAGATGGGGTCGCCTGGGTGGCTCAGTTGTTAAGTGTCTGCCCTCGGCTCAGGTCATGATGCCAGGGTCCTGGGATCGAGCCCTGCATTGGGCTCCCTGCTCAGCAGGGAGTCTGCTTCTCCCTCTCCCACACCCCTGCTTGTGTTCCTGCTCTCGCTGTCTCTCTCTGTCAAATAAATAAATAAAAAATCTTTAAAAAAAAAAAAAAAGAAATGGAGGAGGTGAAATTTGATCTGCTACTAAGGGGAAAAAAAAAAACAAGAATTCATGTGAAAGAGCCGAGAAACTTAGGTGAAACAGATCCCATAAAATCCCCAAGTCATTCTTAGCAATGGTGGTAGAGAATCTCATAAACAGAATCTAAGAAACAAAACACAGTCTGCTGTTATGCTCAAACTAAGGTATTTTATTAGCTGGCTTTACACACCTTAAATAATATCTTGGTTACCAAAAGGACAGTTTCCACTAATTCCAAATTAAGCTTTCAAAAGTTCATTTGTTGGAGGAAGAATATTCTTATGCTCAACACAAAATACTTTTCCTATAACCTTCAGGAAATCTTTTCTTAGTTAACTAAAAAAAAAAAAATTGCTCAGGTTAAATATTAACTGCCTCAACAACCCAATTTAGTTACTTTTCCTTAAAATGTGTGCAGTAGAGTTGAACACTGTAAACATTTTGTGGTTTGGCTGGAAGTAGAGTTCATTTCATGATGACTGAATGTCTTCTAATACATATTTCTGATAGTTTCCATAAACCTCAGCAAAGTAAATCCATTCACTAACATTTCAAAGGGAAAGCCGGTTTTTTAAATGAAAGTGTAATATTAGCCTTTCTTTGCCATTTGGCAACTTGAAATTTTTGCAGGAGTGATGATTAATACTTCTTTGCAGCTGATTATATCGTTTTAAGTTTCTCTCTCATTTAAAAAAATAACCAATTGCACATTGTTCCTTTAACTGAACAACTGGATTCTTTAAAAACAGAGGTTAGCTATTTCATTGCATTTGGAAACATGGTAGAAATTCTGACTCATCATTCTTTTATCTGTAAAAGAAAAAAAAGAAAAGGTGCTATAACTTAATCTGTCACATTTTAAGAAAAACAAAAAGGAAAATGGCAGCGATATAATCATTATGTCAAGATGAAACTTTTCTTTTTTCCTGTTACTTTTCCCCTTCCCCAGTCATGCTATTTCTGAGATTTACTACAATCTCTCCATTATTTTCCACAAGAAACTCATCTTATTTCTAGAATGCTCTTTCAGAAAGAATGCCTTGGCAGACTGTGATGTTGATGACAGTGCATTAGGTAACAGTCACTGAATGCCAATTACTGTGCCAAGTGCTTTGTGAGAGCCTTTCACTTCACAGCTATGGGAGGGAGGTTCTATTACCCTGTTTTTACAGGCGAATGAACTGAACGTACTTGTGCTGCTAGGAATCAGTGGGTAGCTGAGCGCCACAGCCTTTTGGCAGGATGCACGCATAACTGAATTTTGATGCAACATAAAGCTCTACATTCAAAGTAGACATCCCATTAAATGAACTGAATAATTTGTATGCAGAAAACAATCATATGAAGTATTCGTTAAAAATATAATATTTCTAAGATTTATATTAATAGTGATTATGTGGAAGAACATTTAAATTACTGAAGTTTGCTGGTTTGCCTCTGGCTATTTTCGCCAAACTCAACTGCACCTTACATTATACAACAGGTCCCTTTCAGAAAAATTAATTGAACTTTCTGAGTGGATCATTTCAAATGCACGGAGAACCAGTTATTTAAAAAAAAAAAAAAAAAAGTAAGGCGGGCTCTTCTAGTAAATGGAATCAGCTCCCCCAACTGTTTGACTCCTAAAGACTGTGTTCGCATAATGTGGATTGCTTACTTACACATCTATTTTTCAACGAGCTTACTTTAATTCTGAGAAACATTTTTCATGGAGAGGACAGTTCAGAAGTCTCACCATGAAAAGTTCTAAAACCAAATATTTTCTTGCCATCATTTAAAAGAAATGTTAATATAAATTTTAAAATCTGTGCTCCCCTTCAGGCATGAGCCCTCAGGAATTCTTCCTACAGAGCAGTAAAGACAAGACACGTGCACACAAGGCAACGCCCTCCACAGTACCTCCGTGACCACGCCCCCCGCGATCGTGGAGCCCCCGTAGCGCAGCATGAACCTCCCCAGCTCTTTAAAGTCTCTGTACAGCTCCAGAGCCACCGGGCGCTGTGTCTGCAGCTCCACCAAGGCACTCTGGCCTTTAGTCAACAGCCTAGCACACAAAAGGTGGGTGGGGAACAGGGATGGACCATACAGGTGAATAAAGGCAGTAACAGACTGAAAAATAAATACTTCACATTCGATCAACAAATCAACCTTCAAAAACTTTTTAAAAAGAAAAAAAAAAAAGTTTTTAAAAATGAAAATATATGCCTTTGTATTTTTCTGGGTTAGCTGAAAGAAATGAGAGGAATGATTCTGGATAGAAGAAATATTAACTGGTTCATTTTATATATATATGTATGTATATATGTATTTTTTAAACCAATCTTCCAAATACAACTCTTGAAGGACCTTATAACCTAAAATGTTCAAGGACCCTCCACCAAAGCCTTCCCTTTTTTCCTCATGCAGTTGAGAGGTTCAATTAATAAGGAAAGTAAAGAATTTTCATTTTAAAAGAGGGATACAATGTAAAATGCTAACTGGTGGATTATGTGTTAGAAGTTATCTAGGACAATCTCCTAGTGCCAAAAGACTACTCTAAATTTCTCTCTTTCCCTCCCTCCTCTCTCTCACACACAGGAATAGTGATTTTCGAACAGGGGTTCAGAATAAAATCACGTAAGAGTTTTCCACAATATGATGTTTGTAGGAAATGAAGGTGGGGGGACTGGGGACATGAGCCTGACTGTAAGCAGTTTCATACAAATACATAAAAATCCTTGTGTGTGGGCTCATCTAAACTTACTCAAAGACTAGAACCCAAAAGGGGGCACTCTGAAAAGGTTCTCTAACTTAATTTTGATGTGCTCTAGAAGGATAGAAGATAGCAATTATAGACTCTCCTGAAAAATTAGTTCAGGGACAGACAGGTAAGAATAAGCCAAACAAGTTTCTAAAAGAGTATTCCAAAATTTCCAAATACTGGTTTTGGACAATTTCAGTCCAAAGCCCCATTCCTAAGAAAGGAGAGCATCTAATATATTCATTATTTGCACTTAATTTTGTTTTTAGAAAGCTCGATTCCATTCCACATAAAACAACTGAATCTACAATATACCTGAAGTGGAAATGAAGCAGAGAGACCAAATGGTGTTGGTGCAAAATAAGAGAAAAGCTACAAATAAGGGGCCAGGGAAAATTAACATGAGAATATATTAAAGCCTAGCATCACTGAGCAAGGACTTTGTAGCAGAAGCAGGGAGGGGACAATTCAGGATTAGACATGATGAGTCAATTCTAGATTGAGAATTCTCCGAATCACTTGTGTGGGTCCAATAACCTGGCTCCTGCCAAAAATAATAATGTATGTGAACCAACGGACTAGGTTAAAATCCTGACTGCCCCTTGCTAGCTCCGTGAACCTGAACATGTTATATAACCTCTCTACACCTCAGTTTCCTTATCTGAAAAATGGGGACAAGAGTACATGCTTCATAGGGTTGCTGAGAATATAAATCATGCGAAAGCAGTCTAGGAAATAGTGCTCCTCAAGAAGTGTTAGCCATTAGTTACAGTTCTCAGAACATGATGCCACACTCATGCCAGAAGCTAAAGACTCAGGTTAAAAATGAAGAACTATCAGTGACTACACTGAAAAATGCACAGAACTGTTGAGTCACTATGCTGCACACCTGAAATTAATAGAACACTGTATGTCAACCATAGTTCAGTCAGTTCTTAAAACTTATCTTAAAAAATAAAAAAAAGAACTATCTTTCAGAGAGAGATTAAGTAGCCCTTTCTTCCTAACTAATGGAGAAACAGGCATGGGTTCAGAGAAGTGTGAAGACCCTCTCTCCTACTCGCAGCCGACCTATTAATCCACTAACCAACTCTGGCCTCTTACACAGGTGCAAATGAAGAGGAACACCCAAAGACTGAAAAAAGGGGATTTTGGGTGGGATTCCCCATAGGGTTGAAGTGAGGAAAACCCCAAAGCTGAAGCAGCCAAGCCAAACTGTGGTCAGCCTTTATTGAAGTAGGGTAAGAAACTTAAGTTTCTCAGGAAGCACTTCCTTCTGAAAAATCCCAACCTTGTCCCAACCAAAGGAAACTGTCCACATTTAAGCCTGGATATTAATGGTAATCAGAGGGAAACAACATGGTGGTGATCACCTCAGCTTAAAGCTCCAAGTGGATTCTGAGCAGAAAGAAAATAATTTCTAGAAGCTACACAGTACTATGTAATTCACTTTCTTCCTGGAGTGTTCTTAGCATAAAGAATGATTCTCATTAAGGGGGTGACAAGATAGTTAAGAGGACCACTCAGCTGGAATTTGGAACTAGTGGCTAGGCATAATTCAAACTCATTCTTTAAAATGTAGAACTGATTTTTTTTAAGTGCCCTTTATTTTTACATCATCAGCATCTAGGGCTTGATATCTATATCTATATCTATATTTATATCTATATACTTAATTTTTATATACAGTTCACACCCTACTGCCCCCACCCACAACAGAAATTATATCTAGCATTCATACCTAGACGGGAGCTTAAACATGTGTTTTGTGTTTCTTTTAATCTAGTTTTTGAAAAAAAAGATTTCTGGCCCAAGTAAAAATAGACTTTACTTATCACAAACAGAAATATTACAAAAATGAATTAATCAGTAAAAAAATCTGCTAAATTGCTTGTATTCACTATTTGTGCATTAAAACACTCACTTTGGCTTCTTCTTTGTGACTTCACCTGTGCTTTTGTTTAAGACACTAATCAGCCGTTTAATAACGGCAGGTTCACTGACAGTCTGGTAGTGTAACAGCACCTAAAACAAAAAATTGTCATGTCAAAAAATACTTTACCGTACATCTGTGGCCTTTTATTCTGACAGTCACATCTCATCACATTTTGACAGCCAGCACTCCCGCCTGGACCTTCCAGGGTCTCCAGCTGCTTCCTCTAAGTCCCACACTCTGATCAGGGTATTCTCTAATTTACTAAGGGAAAAAGGTCATGGAGCCAGTTCAAGTTTCTCCTCCACCACCTTACTGTGTGAACCTTAGTAGATCATACAACGTTCCTTACAGGACTGTGAAGAGAACTGAACAGGATCAGAGACACTGCCCGGGAGACGAGATGCTCAACAGATGCAAATTACTCCATCATAAAAATGAGGGAAGGTGGATCATGTCATATTCAGCAGTACTTAATGTATTCATTGTTGGATAATGAGAATAAGAGATTATGTGACAGTGTAGACAGGCTTTGAAGCCAGGCCTGACTCTACCCTTTCCAGGTGTATGATTTGGGGCAAGTCCTTGAAAAGCCCTTTACCCCCAACACCTCCAGCCTCAGGTTCCTTACCACTGAGGAAAATCAGATGATGTTATGTCGAAGTGGTGCCTAGCACAAGGTAAATATTCAGTTAATTGATGACCTTGGATATTTGCTATTACTGTTCATGTTTTATGTGTAAGGAAGTTTAATATCAAAAAGACTAAGTAAGGGGTGCCTGGGTGGCTCAGTTGTTAAGCGTCTGCCTTCGGCTCAGGTCATGATCCCAGGGTCCTGGGATCGAGGCCTGCATTGGATTCCCTGCTCGGCGAGGGGCCTACTTCTCCCTCTCCCACTCCCCTTGCTTGTATACTCTCTCTGTCAAATAAATAAATAAAATCTTTAAAAAAAAAAAGTCTAAGTAACTTAATGTGGCCATGGTGACATATTTCAGAGGTGAATTTTATGCTGAGGTCAACTGGAGTCTGAGTCAGACTGGCTATTCTCATGCAAATAAGCACCAAGTGTGCAACATGTCTACAGGAGGGTATAGTGGGAAGACCAAATACTAAGGAAGTGGCAAAGCTAAAGTATAACTCGTTTGAAATACCATTTTATGCTCTTTGCTTGAAGAAAAACACTGACACTTCTACTATGAAATTTCCTGGCTGAAACAATTTGCACGTTCAGAAAATAGAAATACCAGGGGGACTTGTGGATGCACAATCCTGAACTCTGTAACTTTCTAAAAACCAAGTCTTTCAATCAGCACTTGGTTAATTCTGTCTACTTCTCTCTCCAGAACAATGCTGCCCCCAGTCCAGGACCATCCTCTCTTATCCGAGTTAAAATGCAGGCTCCTTCCTGATCTCTCTGCCACCACTCTTGTCCCCTCCCACCCATTCTTCCTATGTCTACCCGACTGATTTTCTAAAAGACAGATTTAATGGTATATCCTTGCTTTTTAAAACCACAGAAACTTTAATTCCACTACAAGGCACCAAGACTCTTCTCAACCTGACTGTCACTTACTTCTCCAGCCTCATCTCTCTCCATCCCTCTCGCATTCTCTGCTCCAGACACACAGAGCTTCCACTCCCTACATGAACCAAGTCCTTTCTAACCTTTAGGCTTTTACACATCTTATGCTTCTGGCCAGAACACACCAGCTGCATTTGGCTAATTCTTACTCATCCTACTCTACCTCTCTTAGAGTAAAGCATCACTTCTTACAAGAAGCTTGAACCCCTAGTCTGAGCTAGATCCCTTCCTTTGTGTTCTGTAATCCCACACCATAACATCTCACCTTTATTGTAACTGCTGTTTTAAGTGTCTGTCATCCCATGTAAATATAAACTTTGTAAGACCGGTGCCAGATATTTAATCAGCGCTCAGTAAATACTTGTGAAATAAATAAAAGAATAAAGAAATAAGAACACCTAAAACATATGGAGGAAATCAGTCAGGTGGTGTTCCTTTGTTTTTTTAAGGCACAACCGAACCTCCATTACTCTGCAAAGGCAAATTAGTTTTGGGTTTTTGGTTTTTGGGTTTTGTTTTTTGTTTTTGTTTTATATTGTTTTTGTTGTTTTTATCAATGGCATTTAACCATTATAAACTGGAAACATTCCAGAAAAATTTAACAACCAACTCCTAGGGGGAAAAAAACCTTCCATAATGCATGGTAAAGTCACATTTGTGTGTCCAAAGGATTCAGGGGTCAAATAGCACCAATGTATAACATAAATGTAGGTCTACATATCTAAGAAACATTTCTTTTGCAACGAATAGGTAAGTAAGCAGAAGTCCCTTACTTGGCTCGAGTGTAACTAAGAAGTAGGTACTGGTCTCCATCCATGGCTTGCCAAATTTGAAAGAATAGAGGCACATGAACCTAGTTAAGTTTCCTACCCTATTTGTGAGCTTTGTGTAGGTTCCATCCAATGAAGTGGATGAAGAATGGGTTGTGCCAGTATGGAGTAAGTTTTGTTTTTTATCTCTACACCATCTTACAGGTAGTAGCTCAAAAACAAAAAACCCCTGTGGAACACACGAGTGAAAAAAATCTACATACAAATAAGTGGAAAGTAATTATATATTATCTTAACATTTAATTCATATTATATATAACCAAAGTCACCTATAATTCAAAGCAGTCTACAGCATAACGTAAAAGGAAAAGAAAGTACTCAATTTCAAAGTGGAAAGTAGTGAGTACGAGTCGTGGCTTAATCACTTCTTGTCCAGATAGCCACCACCCCCAAGTCTCCTATTCCTCATCCTTAAGTGCAGACAACACTAACACAAGTGCACAATCTTATCTGCAATTCCAAAATCCTAAGGACTGAAAACCCAAGTTTTTCCTAATTCTGCTCTAAACCTATTTAAGTAGTAAAACAGCACTTGAAGTAAGGCAATTTACAGTCCTTATTTTTTTCACTTAGCATTAGTATTCATAAGCTGTGGTACAGAATGATTAGTATGTTTGATTACAGGGTGTTGCCCCACTCTCTGTCAGGGATTTTACATAACATACATGCACCACATCACCTTTCTATTATCTGAATATTTCTGCATTCTGAAACACACCAGCTTGAAGAGTTGCAGATAAGGGTTGGGACTCTACTTCATGTGCAGTTGTGAAAATAAAATTATAAACTGTAATGAGCTACATAATCTGTTAGGTGGCAAAATAAGCCAAATTATTATTTTCCTTACACCTCCAGGTAACCCTTATTATAAAATTATTAATGCATATACAGTCAATTAGTTTACAACAAGGATGCCAAGACCACTCAATAGAGAAAGGACAGTCTTTACAACAAATGGTGCTGGGAAAGCTGGATATCCACATGCAAAAGAATGAAGATGAAGCCTTACTTTACCCATGTACAAAAAATTGACTCAAAATGGATCAAAGACCCAAACAAAAGAACTAAAACTATGAAACTCATAGAAGAAAATAGAGGGGGAAGTGTCCTTGATGTTGAATCTGGCAATGATGACAGGACCTCATCAAAATTAAAAACTTCTGTACATCAAACAGCACTATTAAGCGATCAAGAAGACAACCCATAGAATGAAGAAAATATCTGCAAATCATGTATCCGACAAGGGATTAATACCCAAAATACATAAAGAAGTGAAAAGATGCTCAACATCACTAGCTATTAGGGAAGTGCAAATCAAAAGCACAACGAGATACCATTTCACGCTGAGTTTGCCTATTATAAACAAACAAACAACAAAAATCACCCCCCACCCAACACTAACAAGTGTTGATGAGGAAGTGGAGAAATCAGAACAGCTGTGCAGTGCTGGCAGGAACATAAACTGGCGCAGCTACTGCAGAAAACAGTTTGGTGGTTCCACAAAAAGTTCAACACGGAATGACCATATGATCCAACAATTCCACTCCTAGGTATACACCCGAAAGAATGGAACCTGGGGGCTCAAACAGATACTTGTATGCCAATGTTCAACTGCCCTAAGATGTAAACAAGCCAAATGTCCATCAACAGATGAATGGATAAACAGGTGGCGTATACATACAAAGGAATAGCATTCAACCTTAAAAAGAAATGAAATTCTGATACATGCTACAACACTGATGAACTCTGACAACATTATGCTATGCTAAGTGAAGTAAGTCAGACCCAAAAGGGCAAAATTGTATGATTCCACTTAAAGGAGGCACCTGGAATACGCAAACTCATAGAGAAAACAAAATAGTGGTTACCAGGGGAAAAGGAGAAGGGATAATAGGGTACAGAGCCTCAGTAGGGGATGAGAAAAAAGCTCTGAAGATGGATGGTGTTGATGGCCCCACAATGTGAGTGTACTTAATGCCACTGACCTGGACACTTAAAAATCATTAAAATAGTAAATTTTATGTTACAAAATATTTTACCACAATAAAAAACACATGAATTTAAAGTCTAACCCATTCTTCTATTTTTTTCTTCTTAAATCGAGTTTACCATATAAACCAAGAGACACATATTTCTGTAGTGTTAAGAAATTAGTCCCTTGGAGCGCCTGGGTGGCTCGGTTGTTAAGCGTCTGCCTTTGGCTCCGGTCATGATCCCAGGGTCCTGGGATGGAGCTCCCTGCTCAGTGGGAAGCCTGCTTCTCCCTCTCCCGCTCCCCCTGCCTGTGTTCCCTGTCTCACTGTCTCTCTCTCTGTCAAATAAATAAATAAAATCTTAAAAAAAAAAAAACAGTCCCTAAATAGTAAATTTTAATTGCTTAGGGAGCCTTTTCTTGGTTTAAAAACAAAACAAACAAAAACTGAAGGTTTCTTCCCACAAGAGGTAGATTAAATGACAAAACACAACTGTTTTTTCTGAAACAAATTTCATCCGGGTATTCGTGAATCAATATACGCAGGTGGAATTGCATAAAAGCAGCACTGACAAACTTTCAATTCATACATATTTTTAAGAAACTACAGTACACAGGAAGACAATATTACTATTGAAAGTAACGACCTCTTGACCTCTCTGCCTCTCCAATGGCAAAAAAATTATCGCTGCATGAGTAAAAACATGCAGTAACCAACCTCTCTGGCTTCTCCCCATTGGACATACTGCTTTCTAAGAACGAGGGCCATTCATTCATAGCAAATTAGCTGTAGTTTCTTGCTTATCAAACATGAATTCTAGATATTTAAAAATTAAATATTTTTGGGGCGCCTGGGTGGCTCAGATGGTTAAGCGTCTGCCTTCAGCTCAGGTCATGATCCCAGGGTCCTGGATCGAGTCCCGCATCGGGCTCCCTGCTAGGTGGGGAGCCTGCTTCTCCCTCTGCCTCTGCCTCTCTCTCTCTCTCTCTGATTCTCATGAATAAATAAATAAAACATTAAAAAAAAAAATTAAATATTTTCAACTATAACCATTTTTTTGGGAGAGAAACTTATACTCCTTTTTTAGCATGTGGGGGAAATGGAAATGGATTATAAAACTATAATACTTCAACAGTATCTTATAATTTTTATCTGATCAAATTTACATAGAAATAATTATAAAGGATTATAATCAAAGCACATGGTTATCTCAAATAAAGGTGTATAAGTATAAAATGAATTTAAATGAGCTAAATAAATTTATTCCCAACCTCTAAAACATTATCACTAACTAAATTAAGTTTAAAGGTCAATTACTATTATTGTCTTATTTATTATTGCAATAATGCATCAAATGATGAAAACAACCTGTTTGTATTTTCAAAGGCAAGCTATTTAATTCCACTGAGAAACATTTTTTGTCGTGCAAATCTGTACTATATAGGCTGATCAAGAAAAGAAAAGCCTAATGGGGAAAACGTCATCTGTTAAGCGGCAAAAACAAAGTATTAAACTATAAGCAGAGTATGGCCCCCAAACATCTGGAAAAAAATTACACCTAAGAGAAGGAATTCATGCAATTCACAAGTAGTATGTCTTCTGGCTAAGTAACATTACAGTATAAAATCCCCCTCCTTCCCATAAATGTGTATGTTCAAATGATGCTGGGAAATAATAATCTACCAAACTAACCTCACAGCTTGCAGGGTTTGAATGTATTGCTTCAGCCCAATTAAAGTTAATTCTATGGCAAGCATCCCTAGAATATACTCATAAATACCAAACATGCACACGTAAAAAATCACTAAAATGTAAAGTGTAGAGACAGTTATGTATTATGTAATTATATTCTTATCTTTTATTTGTGTGTTTCGAAAGTTTTATATAATAATTTATTACTTTTATGATAGGAAAGCACTATAAATAAGCATATTAAAGCAAGAACAGAAAGACACAATCTGCGATTAGTCAGATACCCTCTAGAACACAATAAAGTATCTACCATTTTCCCTAGATGAGTCTGACTATTACCATTAGTTTGTATCCTATTGATTATTTCTTCTTAATGCCTCTTTGAGAAAAATCCCTAGGCTCAATGACCAAAATAAAAAAATAAAAATGACTTTCAAAGTCTAATCTCATGTTTTTCTGGATTAGAATATTAAGGATTTTTTTTGTTTTTTTTTTATTATGTTATGTTAATCACCATACATCATTAGTTTTTGATGTAGTGTTCCATGATTCAGTGTTTGCGTATAACACCCAGGGCTCCATGCAGTACGTGCCCTCTTTAATACCCATCACCAGGCTAACCCATCCCCCCACCTCCCTCCCCTCTAGAACCCTCAGTTTGTTTCTCAGAGTCCACAGTCTCATGGTTCGTCTCCCCCTCTGATTTCACCCTCTTCATTTTTCCCTTCCTACTATCTTCTTTTTATTTTTTTAACATATAATGTATTATTTGTTTCAGAGGTACAGGTCTGTGATTCAACAGTCTTACACAGTTCACAGCGCTCACCATAGCACATACCGTCCCCAGTGTCTGTCACCCAGCCACCCCATCCCTCCCACCCCCACCACTCCAGCAACCCTCAGTTTGTTCCCTGAGATTAAGAATTCCTCATATCAGTGAGATCAGAATATTAAGATGTTAGTTGAAAATAACTACAGCATTCTCACTTGTAAAGTAAGTTACTACTTTTTAGGATGAAGTTACTTTGAAGTGACAATAACAAACATTTCAAAACTTACAGGAAATCCTTTAGTGATAGGAATTTCAATATTAAAGATGAGGATTCGAGCTCTGAAACGAGTGCAAGCTTTAATGGGTTCTTTGGGGCCACAAAATATGCAGCCAACACTGCAACAAAACAAAACAAAAGAGAGAGAGAGAGAAGGTAGTTGGAGGAAAGATAAACATACATTCAATAGCAGTACCTCCAAAACCGTTTACAAAGAAACAATCAAGTAAATTGGGGAGTTTTTCTAAATACTTCCTTTTGGGTTAAAGCATAGCTTTATACCACTATTAACCTTACACCACTTTTAACATTATAGCTTTCATTCAAAGGACTTGGTGTCAAGTACACGTGCTGATATGTATTAATTTCAGTTTTAAATAGGTTTTGCTCATCATTCTTATGCTTCTACAAGTGCCTATTTCTGGCGAAATGAAATTCGAAATTATATTCATTCTTTCAGTTTAGCGCGTGAACAGCAAAATCTATGTTTTGAGGTCCTATATCTAAAACAATGGTCGCTTAAACTCATTTTCTCACTCACTTGATCTTGATGATATCCATCCCAACCAACGTAAGACTAACATGATCACCTGCTGCCGCCCAGTCGACGGGTTCATCGTGCAGAGTGATTCCTGGAAATGAGTAAGAACCAAAGCATACAGTGAAACACCTCAATATCAAACCATAACAACCAAGAGAGTTTGGCTTATTTATGCCTCATCAGTCACTACTCATCATTTTCAATATGAATGGATTGAGAATGAGAAGTGTAACTGTGAGCGTTGAGGAAAACACACTTCCTCTAAACTTGACTCTTCTAGAACACCACCCTAAAAATAAAGTAATTCCTATTATTCCAAAAAAGGCCGATTTCAGCTTAATTAATCAAAATTTTAAAACTCATTTATACAACCAGTATATTCATTAAACGCACCCCATTCAAATAGTTCACTTATATTAATAGCTGCATGTATAACAATGCAGTTCAAATGACTTGATAACATAAAATACGGGACTAAGGAAGGTGTCCAGTAGTATTTTATTCTCTTGAACTTTGCTTTTAATTAGACAACCACCTGAACAGTCACCTGAGTTCTCTGAGTAACCCTCAGGGCATCAGTGCTCAGTCGGATGGGCTCTTCACAGGCCCCTTCACTACTCCTGGCTCAAAAGAAATGCTTCCCAGAGAGATGAACAATGATAACTAATTACATGAAAAGTGTAGGAAATTTAATTTAAAAATGGTCCCAGGTGTTGCTATATACCTTTATTACCTAGGGATAATCCTGAAGAACAATTACAAAGGGCATTACGCAGCTCCCTTATTCAAAAGCTTTTAAAAGGTATCTCATATTTTCTGATATTTTCTGATTCTAAGGGGCAATTAATGGGGCAAGTTCCTTTCCACTAGAACTTTGATGAAGACAGTACACAGGCCAATACAGTACACAGGCCAGAAAATGAATTTTCTATTCATTTCACCACTGTCAAATAGTTCTGGATTGAGATGTTTTTAGTAAATTATAACTCATCCATATCTTTCTCAAAATACTTTTCCCATGTAGCATACTCTTAACAAACTTTTTTTTTTTTTTGAAGATTTTATTTATTTGACAGAGAGAGACACAGTGAGAGAGGAAACACAAGCAGGGGGAGTGGGAGAGGGAGAAGCAGGCTTCCAGCTGAGCAGGGAGCCTGATGCGGGGCTTGATCCCAAGACCCTGAGACCATGACCTGAGCTGAAGGCAGACGCCTAACGACTGAGCCACCCAGGCGCCCCACTCTTAGGAAACTCTTAAGCAAGTTTCTTTTAGACTTTTTATGAGTTCAAGGAAAACTTTAAGAGCTCTGAGACAACCTACAGTTTTATTTAAAATTTTATGTATGTACACATCTGCATTAATCTAAAAGGGGCCATAACTTTCACCAAGGCATCAGAGAGGTTCCTGACTCCAAAAAATGTAACAATTATGATATTAAGAAATGTTTGTTAAATTTTCAACTAATTAAATTTAGTTTTAAAATGTAAACTTAAAGTGACCATATCTGATTTTTGCTCTGAAATGTGGAACATTGTCTGAAGCCAGGGGCTAGCTACTTATATACAACAGAGACTGCCTTTAGCTTAAGATTCTCAAGAGCTTTCATACTAGGAGTTCAATTAGCAATATAAAATTTTTTAGAGGCAATCTATCACCTGATTTTCTCCCTCCAAAGATGTTACAATGTTCTATATATGATATTCATCTTCTTAAGGACCTTCTTCATTGGACAGACATCACACAAAGAAGTTCTTTTATAACAATCCATGAACCTGATATGTTAATAAAATGAAAACTTAATTTAGAATTTCCATTTGTTGGTAGATTTAGTTACTTCTCTCTTTGAGGATACTACTGGTTAGTGACAGAATTGTTGAAATAGAAAGGTGCACTGAAAAATCAAGTAAATCAAGCAAAAGCAAGAGTTAGAAATTGAGGACTGAGAACCTCCAAGTTGGGTTACAAGAGCGGCTGTCAAGGAGTTGGGTATGATCTCAGGTGCTTCTGATACAGCTTCCCCTTAAGATTAAAGACAAATGGTTAGAGTTTTTCTGGTGAGGAAGGGACAGGATGGAGAGAGGAAAACAATGTAGTACTTCCAGAGGTAAATTATGATTTTGGAGGTTACAAAAGAGCCAATCTGTAAGGTCCATGATAATTTTAGGATCATGGTTTTAATTCATGTCTATTGATTATTTTAAAAATTCCTATTCTTGGGGCGCCTGGGTGGCTCAGTCGTTAAGCGTCTGCCTTCGGCTCAGGTCA